TATCTTATGGAGCCACAGGGCTCATTGTTAATGATGGTGAAGGTATTAATGTAGTTACTACATATTTAATGTTTCCTTTTTATTGCACTGTAGGATGACCACTCAACCACAAGGTAGATTTGAGCAGCAAGGTTGGCTGTTCAAACCCACCCGTCATTTCTTAGAAACCTTATACAGGGTTGCTATGACCCTCTACTTTGCTCTGATGTTGATGGCACTTAACAACAACAACAAAATCACAGTAAAGTAGAGGGTCATTGAAAAAGAGGAAAACTCTCAAAGGGATAGAGTGATACAGTGGCTGTAACAATGGACTCAAATATAGCAATATTAGAGGATAGCACAGGACCAGGTCTTGTTTCATTCTATTGTACATATGTTCCCTTTGGTTCAGAACTGACTTAATAATACCTAGTAACAGCAACAACATTGTGTATAAAGCAATTGAGTAAAATAGTGACGTTCTTCTAATCCAAAATTCCTATTATAGGAAATAACATTTTTAAAAATAGAATGGAAGCTGAAACAGAGAAGTTTGAGGTACTTTATTGAATTTTTTACTATACAAATAATGGTATGAACTCATGAACACTTAAATTATATTTAATGATTGTGTAATTTCAATTAAATAATTAATTTGAAATAAGATACAAAATCACAGGAAATCAATATACTGCTAGAAAATCAAGTTATTAACAACTAATTAAAATGAGGTTGAAATTCCACTGAACAAGGGTCATAGCAAAATAATTTTTACATGCATTATGAATATTCATAATAATATAAATGTGTGTAACAATCCATGAAAATTAGTGTTAATGCTAACCAGTCTATCACAAAAATGAAAATGTAAAATAAATTGACGTATAATCATGTATTTATGGAATGATTACTCTGCAGCAAAGCATAAAATTACATCGTAACATCAATTAGTTCTTTAGTTGTGTCTGGTAATACAATTATTGGTAAAACATTTGTTTTACCAGCGGTAATAACAGACTGCTGTTAATCTCCATTTTCTTAATTTTATTTTTAATTTATATTTAATACATTGGCTGAAAAACGAATATACATTATTAGGTTTGTAGTCATTAAAATTTACCAAAAAGAAAAACATATTCCCCTTAGAGTCCTAATTATTGTATTTTGTTCCTAAGGGGAAAGTGACTTAAATATGCATTATAGAATAAATTTCAGTGTCAACTCTATATAAAATTCGGAGTTGATTTTTACTTATGGTTTCATTTTTATTGGCTCGCACATTTTACTTTCACCTTGTTCATACTTTACATTACAATGAAATCTCCAAAATTTTATTTTAAAAAATAAGCAAGAAATCATGTTTTATAGTCTGGACTTCCTAAACTGTCATAATTGGATACATAGAAACATTACCATTATGTGAAAACCCAAAATTAAATGAGTAACATAAAGTGAGTATTTTTTTGCTACTTAAGAGTGGGTGGCCAAATAAATTGAAAAAAAAAAAAAAAAGATTAAATCGAGCCCTAAAAATTGTGCATGCTTACCCCCTTATGTATCAAACCTTTGTAAATATCTGCTGCAGCTAAAAATGAATGTTTCTGACACAAGAACTTAAGTTTATATTCTTAGAAAACTGGTCCATGAGACATAAACTGACAATGCAGATTTCACAAAGCAGGTAAAGAGATTAAATTTAGAATTTTTTTTTCTTTCTCTAATTTGTTAATTATTAATCCATTAGTTTGAAAAGTAAGGTTATAAATTGTCTTCCTTACTAATAAATGCTTTCAGAAAATTCAATAGCCTTATATCTTCGAAGAAAATGTAAATTTAGTGTTTCCTTGATACTGATATACTGTATAAATCATAGTTTTTAATTTTCTTAAAACCTACTAGAAATGATTTTACTTAATGAATTTTCTTTTTATTAAATAGTGGAAATGTGGTGTTACTATTTATACAGAGAAAAGTTTCATGTCTTGTACTTTGCCTTTGTCAATATATATGTTAGAGAATAAGAAACAGAACTATCAAGAACACTTTATGTTTGGATAATTTTCTAGGGTACTCAGACATCTAACCTTAAGCCACTGCATATTTGATTACCTGACTATGATAGAAGCTGAATTCAACTAGTATTAACAATGACCTCATGTGTTTACATTTAAAACAAGTGGGAATAACTTATTCCATAATTATTTTTCTGATTCTGTAGCATATGAGCTATAGACTATATAAGGTAATACATAGATAATATAAGGAGAGATACTGTCCTCAACAACATATTATTACTTAATTCTAGTTGTTTTAGTTCTAATTAGATGAGCAAATATATAGGATTTAATGTTATTTTCTTCAAAAGGAGAGGCTTGTTAATATAAACATAAAGTCTGTCCTAATGTGAACAATACCTGCATTGCATATACCAAGACCATAGCTTGAGGAAAATGACTTATTTTTTGGAGGAACTATGCTGATCTTGTAGCCTGATGTAAAGCCAACCTAGTACTTTTTATCTGTAGGTGATTAATTTGTATTCTATTATATATATATATAAAGAAGTCAAATAAATAACTGAAGGTATAAAATAAAACTGGTCTTTATAATAAGACTTAATATTGTTGTCTTAAATATCATTCTTTATAATTTTAAAGTTTACTATTATCTTTTAAAATTATTAATGTAAAAACATAGAGACAAATTGAAATGTCAGCATTGTATAGAATCTTGAACACCTGTGAATTTGAAATTGACATTGTAGGACTTTTTGTTTGTTTCTATCTCAGTTTCTAAATGCATACAACAATACACATTTAAAAAATAGTATCCAAGCACTTTCTGCTTATTATAATAATGATCTAGCCCAAATTTCATTATTTGCAGAGCATCATCTATAATTGTTTATTTTTTTTCTTCAGTACAGTGCAGAGCTGACATGGCAAAGAAGAGAATAGTGCCATTTTCAAAATAGTCTCAGGCATTCGTGTAAAAAGTATTGCTGGGGAAACAAAGAGTGAAAGTCACAGTAAATAATTTATTTATATCAGTGCAAAAAAAAGTTATTTAAGATTTATGTTATTTAAACTATATATATTTTCTGAGTCAAGAAATGATTACCACATTCTGTCAGTTAAGATAGATGATGGGTGAAGATGTCATAAGTGAATTTTTAATACAATTTTTCAAACCATTTAATTTTTTTTTTTTTGCAAATTCTCTACCATGCATTGATATTAAAAACAAAAACAAATTTCAGTAACATAAGAAATTTGCAGTATTGAGTTACAAACTGAAGGTAAAGTTTTTTTTTTTTTTTTTTTTTTTAATATCCTAAGCACAAGAGTTATTTGAACTATTTTTATGTTGTGACATTGAGTCAGTTCTGAATTATAGGGATCCTGTATAGGATTTCTGAGGAACAGGTGGTAGGCTTGAACTGAGAACCTTGTGGTTCAAATTCCAGTGCTGATCCTACAATGGGCTATTAGAGTATATTCTAAAGTAATTTGAAAATTGACCAAGAGCAAATAACCATGAAAATTATCTGATATTCCTAGCATACATAATTTTTGAAATCTTGTATTTCCTTAAGTTACTTTAGACATATGGTTTAAAATGAATGTTTTAAGATGAGAAGTATTTAATGTTTTAGAATGTCTGTCTTTTCTATGGACCATACTCAGTCACTAATAACCAAATTCTTTTATATTTTTCACTATAAATTAACTTTTATTAAGGCATATTTTTTGAGGAAATAAAACAATGTTCACATTTAAATTATTATGATTTTGGAGGAATAAACATTCCCATATTTAGTCCTTCCTATTAGAAACACTATGTATGTAGAACAGGCAAATAAAAAGTCAGTGATTCCTTCATTTGTAATTTATTCATTTACCTTTTACCTTGTAACTGCTATTTACTAATTTATTGTTGCTGTTAGGTGCTGCAGAGTCAGCTCCAACTTATTGCAACCCTCTATAGAGTTTCTGATGAGTGACTGGTGGGCTTGAACCAGCAACCTTGCAGTTTGCAGTGCAGTGCTTATCCTACAGAGCCACATTAGCACTCAGGTATTTACTAATAGCTTTCACTGTTGTTAAATGAAGGAATAATACACAGCTTTTATCTTCAAGTTATTAGTTCTAAAACAGTGTATAGAACTATGCACATTAATACATGAAAGAATAAAGTATGAATCTAAGCATGGGTGAGAAATTCACTATTAGCTTTCACTGAATTATTAAATCCCCAATACTGCTCAAGAGTCAGTAATGGTTTTAGTGAGAATGTGACATTTTAAATGGATCTCTAGTACCGAGAGAGTTTTTTTTTTAATTGTTTTCTCATTAAGGAACTAAAGAACAGTTATGATTACAAGAGATGCTGCTAGCTATAGTACTAGTATTTGAAATATCTAATTAAATTGCTGTTCTAGTAAATTGGTTTGACTCATAGTGACCCTGGTAGGGTTTTCAAGGTTGTAAATCTTTGCAGGAACAGAAAGCCTCATCTTTCTCCCACCTCTAATTAAATTTGTTGTTGTTGTTGTTAAGTGCTTTTGAGTTGGTTCTGACCCATAGTGACTCTGTATAGGGTTTCCCAGGAATGGTTGGTGAGCTTGAGCCACCAACATTGCAGGTCAAACTGACTTTGCAGTCCACCACATTAACCCACATAAACACATCAAGAGTCCGTCTCAATAAAATAAGGAGACGTCTTGATGACATAAATAGGTATGCTCTGAGGTGCTGACAGTAAGGTTCAGAACTACCCTGAGGAGCACTTAAAGATAGACCTGGCAATCTGCATGCTATAAATCATAGCCATGAAAACCCTATGGATGACAGTTCTACTCTGACAGAAATGGAGTCTCTATGAGTCCAGAATGCCTTGATGCAACTGTTATTCTGATATTATTAGCCATACAACATTTCTTAAGTATGTCTCATTACTGGACTTCTGATCTTTGATCCTAATTTGAGCATATGTGTTGGTTTCATTCCCTCCAGGAGATGGATGTCTATAACCTAACAACCTTCACGGAGTTCATCCTCATAGGGCTCTCTGATCTTCCTGAGGTACGCTACCCTCTCTTCATTGCACTTGCTGCTATGTATCAGATCACCTTAATGGGAAATTGGGCCATTCTTCTTGCCATTGGAACTGAGAAAAAACTGCACACACCCATGTATTATTTTTTGGCAAATCTGTCCATTATAGACATTTTCTACTCATCAACTACTGTTCCCAAGATGCTCAAGAATCTCTTGTCAGAGAAGCAAAGCATTTCATTTGTTGGGTGTGCTTTGCAGCTTTTTTTCCTAGTAGGCTTTGTAGGGAATGAAGTCTTCTTACTCTCTGCCATGGCTTATGACCGGTATGTGGCCATATGTTTTCCCCTTCGTTACACCCTCATTATGACAAAGGGGCTCTGTGTTCAGCTTATGGCCGTTGCCTGGGCAACAGGATTTCTAAACTCTCTTCTGCACACAGTATTCACATTCCGCCTGTCTTTCTGTAAGTCTAATCGAGTCAACCAATATTACTGTGATATCCCTCCAATGGTGGCTCTATCATGCTCTTCTACATATGTGGCAGAAATGCTTGTCTTAGTAGTAGGAGGTGTCTTAGGAATCAGCGCCTTCATGATAACTAGTATCTCTTATATCTATATCATATCCACAATCCTGAAAATCCAGTCAGCTGAAGGGAAGCGCAAAGCCTTCTCCACATGTGCTTCTCACCTCCTTGTAGTTGGTTTGTTCTATGGCACAACGATATTTACTTACATCCGCCCCTCCTCTAGTTACCAATCCTCAGCCAGAGATAGGCTCATCTCAATGCTGAATGGAGTTATTACCCCAATGTTCAACCCTATAATCTACAGCTTGAGAAACACAGAAGTAAAAGGAGCTCTTAGAAAGATTTTATGCCATAAGGCATGTTTAGAACAAACATGATATCAAAACAATATTACACAGCTAACACTTAACTTATACTGAATATATAGAAATGATTGGAAGAATTCATAATCATTTTCTGTTGATGTGAGAATATAGATAGATAGATAGATAGATAGATAGATAGATAGATAGATAGATAGATAGTTGTTATTAAGTATCACTGAGTCGGTTCCAACTCATCTTTATGAGTT